CTTCGGCAATATGCTTTTGGACAAACTGTTTTTGTGCGAAAAGTTCATAAACCAGTGACCGCTTCCCGCCCATGTTTCCGAGAATTCAAGAAGCTAAGTACTGACGTCGAGTGGATGCTGAAAAAGATGTGCTGTTCTATACATGTACAAGCTGTTCTATACATTAGAACAGCTTGTTCTAGAAGAAGAGAAAAAAGAGAAAAAACGTTAATATGAACGAAAATTCTTGGAATACAGTAGTACAGACTCTCGAGTGAGAGAAAAAAAAAAAATGCTAATATATAGTATAGAATTGACTGTCAGTGGCAGAAGAAGGAGTATATAAGTGTCACACAGTGTAGAGCGAGGAACATAAAATATGAGAAGGTAAGTGTGACATTGTTCAAAACAGAAAAAAGTAAAAATAAAAAATGGAGAACGAGAAGTGGAGAAAACGACTTGTATACTTTTAGAGGTATAGAAGTACGGCAAGTGGTCTTTTCAAATGTTAATCCGGAAAAGTTGTTTTTGAAATTTAGTTTTTAGATGATTTGATGCGGGGTTTGAAGTGAGGGTCGTAAAATTGATTTTGGTGGTTTCTTCCGGATTAACATTTGAGTCAAATTTTCCGACAAGCGATTGGCAAAAATGGGGAGGACACCGTTAAGTGGTGTATCCTCGAAAGCCTCTTGCCACATTTGGTGAAATTTCGAAACAAAATGAGAGATAGAGGGAACGTATGTGAAATGGACGAGCATATTCCGTTTGGGATCTATTGCTTGCCTCTTTCTGCTTGGACACGTGAATGAACAGATTGCATGATTTAAAAGGACAATTTCTTCACTCATTTGTGCCACTGAATGATTGTGAAACGAAGTGGTTTTCGTTCGAAATTGTATTTTTACGAACGAAAGATGCTTTATGTTGGGATAGAGTTCTTTCGTTTTTTGAAGGAGCTGTTTAATTCGGTCAATTACGGTTTCCGCATCTGCCCAAGCGATATCATTTGTACCCAGTACAAATGTAAGACTTGAGGCATCACGGAGTAAATAATTGTATTGTCCTTTCTCAATCTCTCGGAGATATTTTTGAGTTGTATGTCCGGAGATTGATTTTATATGGACCTGAGTACCTGGGTTTGAAAGCTGGCTGAGTTTTACTCGAGACGCCATAGAGGAGGAGACGATTATATGTATTGGTTTTAGATATGAGGGTGTTAAATTTATAGGTACTTGCCGTACTTCTTGTACTGCTGCCGTATGTCGCTGTTGCATACCTGCGTTTTGGTTTTTTGATGATTGACGAGGACGATGATGTTGATAATTAGATGATCCTGCGTTCATTTGTTCATCTGCTGTTGATTGTGGCTCGGTATGCCCTGTGTCGTTGTCCGATAAGTTGTCAAATCGATTGATCGACGTTGGTAATGGCAGATGTGCACGTTGATCTAAATTAAATAGAACTTGAGCATATGACTTTTTCACGTACTTACCCTTTGTATGCTCATGACAGGTGTGTGAGGGAGTGAGGTGTGTTAGATTTAAAGTCATGAGTGCTGGGATATTATGTAGTTGACATGCGTTTAAGGTGGTTGTCCGACGTTTGATTGCTGGTGGGATACTTTGTTGATTTCGCGAGGGTGCACGTGATGAAACTCTAGGCGGTGTGGGTAGACGACGACGACGAACCTGAGGACGGTAATTTTGAAGCGGTGGCGCTTTTTGATTGGGTGGCACGTAATTGCTTATGTTCGTATAGGAGTCGAAGTTTGATGATGTCCCGGTTTGGAAACGATGTTTTTGTTTTCGGAGCGATGGTTTTGTTCTTTGTGGAGGTGGATGATTTTGTTGAAGTTGATCATCTCGATTGAAGTGTTGTGTTTTTCCACCTCTGATAGTGATTCAAGAAAGTTGGCAATCCACACTTCGGCACGCCAAATTAGCATTAACAGATTGCATGATAAGAACTAAGAAACTAGAAATAAAAGCGATAGAAGAACAGATAAGTTTTTATCGTAACAGAATAATTACTTGTAAATTAATTAATTGTACTTTTAAATCAGAAACTTGAAAAAATTTCAAAACATTTAAAATTCGACATTCTCGATTTTAATTTCAATAAAAATACGTTAGTTGACGGGTTACACCCAAACTTTCAAGGGCAGCAACAAATTGTTAGCACATTTTTGAGTTACTTTAAGGAGATTTCAAAGCCCTCAAAAAACCAAAAATCGGTCAATTACGATTGGTGTAAACTTTTGTCACAGAATGTCGGTAAAATCTTGCCACAGAATTTTACCATTCAAAACTGTATTGGCGTCTCGAGTAAAACTCAGCCAGCTTTCAAACCCAGGTACTCAGGTCCATATAAAATCAATCTCCGGACATACAACTCAAAAATATCTCCGAGAGATTGAGAAAGGACAATACAATTATTTACTCCGTGATGCCTCAAGTCTTACATTTGTACTGGGTACAAATGATATCGCTTGGGCAGATGCGGAAACCGTAATTGACCGAATTAAACAGCTCCTTCAAAAAACGAAAGAACTCTATCCCAACATAAAGCATCTTTCGTTCGTAAAAATACAATTTCGAACGAAAACCACTTCGTTTCACAATCATTCAGTGGCACAAATGAGTGAAGAAATTGTCCTTTTAAATCATGCAATCTGTTAATGCTAATTTGGCAGAACTTGAAAAGTGGCTCGAAGAATCACTCAAAGAATTTTTAACCCCCATGCGAGAATCCCACGAGAGAAAACTTGAAAATTTAAACATTGAAGCATCTCTAAAAAGGCATCGAGATCTTTTAAAAATAATGCCTCAAACGCCCAAGGAAACAGAAGATATTCGTCTAATGTTCAACTTATCCGAAAGGCGCGAACAACTGAAGGCACAACTTTTAAAGTTAGAAGCACGTTTGTAGTACAAGTCTCCTCCCCCTGGTTTACAAAGTCTTGACGTAATTCTTCGAAGCTACTTACACCCAGAATATCCACCTGTGATAGTGATTCAAGAAAGTTGGCAATCCGCACTTCGGCACGCCAAATTAGCATTAACAGATTGCATGATTTAAAAGGACAATTTCTTCACTCATTTGTGCCACTGAATGATTGTGAAACGAAGTGGTTTTCGTTCGAAATTGTATTTTTACGAACGAAAGATGCTTTATGTTGGGATAGAGTTCTTTCGTTTTTTGAAGGAGCTGTTTAATTCGGTCAATTACGGTTTCCGCATCTGCCCAAGCGATATCATTTGTACCCAGTACAAATGTAAGACTTGAGGCATCACGGAGTAAATAATTGTATTGTCCTTTCTCAATCTCTCGGAGATATTTTTGAGTTGTATGTCCGGAGATTGATTTTATATGGACCTGAGTACCTGGGTTTGAAAGCTGGCTGAGTTTTACTCGAGACGCCAATACAGTTTTGAATGGTAAAATTCTGTGGCAAGATTTTACCGACATTCTGTGACAAAAGTTTACACCAATCGTAATTGACCGATTTTTGGTTTTTTGAGGGCTTTGAAATCTCCTTAAAGTAACTCAAAAATGTGCTAACAATTTGTTGCTGCCCTTGAAAGTTTGGGTGTAACCCGTCAACTAACGTATTTTTATTGAAATTAAAATCGAGAATGTCGAATTTTAAATGTTTTGAAATTTTTTCAAGTTTCTGATTTAAAAGTACAATTAATTAATTTACAAGTAATTATTCTGTTACGATAAAAACTTATCTGTTCTTCTATCGCTTTTATTTCTAGTTTCTTAGTTCTTATCATGCAATCTGTTAATGCTAATTTGGCGTGCCGAAGTGTGGATTGCCAACTTTCTTGAATCACTATCAGAGGTGGAAAAACACAACACTTCAATCGAGATGATCAACTTCAACAAAATCATCCACCTCCACAAAGAACAAAACCATCGCTCCGAAAACAAAAACATCGTTTCCAAACCGGGACATCATCAAACTTCGACTCCTATACGAACATAAGCAATTACGTGCCACCCAATCAAAAAGCGCCACCGCTTCAAAATTACCGTCCTCAGGTTCGTCGTCGTCGTCTACCCACACCGCCTAGAGTTTCATCACGTGCACCCTCGCGAAATCAACAAAGTATCCCACCAGCAATCAAACGTCGGACAACCACCTTAAACGCATGTCAACTACATAATATCCCAGCACTCATGACTTTAAATCTAACACACCTCACTCCCTCACACACCTGTCATGAGCATACAAAGGGTAAGTACGTGAAAAAGTCATATGCTCAAGTTCTATTTAATTTAGATCAACGTGCACATCTGCCATTACCAACGTCGATCAATCGATTTGACAACTTATCGGACAACGACACAGGGCATACCGAGCCACAATCAACAGCAGATGAACAAATGAACGCAGGATCATCTAATTATCAACATCATCGTCCTCGTCAATCATCAAAAAACCAAAACGCAGGTATGCAACAGCGACATACGGCAGCAGTACAAGAAGTACGGCAAGTACCTATAAATTTAACACCCTCATATCTAAAACCAATACATATAATCGTCTCCTCCTCTATGGCGTCTCGAGTAAAACTCAGCCAGCTTTCAAACCCAGGTACTCAGGTCCATATAAAATCAATCTCCGGACATACAACTCAAAAATATCTCCGAGAGATTGAGAAAGGACAATACAATTATTTACTCCGTGATGCCTCAAGTCTTACATTTGTACTGGGTACAAATGATATCGCTTGGGCAGATGCGGAAACCGTAATTGACCGAATTAAACAGCTCCTTCAAAAAACGAAAGAACTCTATCCCAACATAAAGCATCTTTCGTTCGTAAAAATACAATTTCGAACGAAAACCACTTCGTTTCACAATCATTCAGTGGCACAAATGAGTGAAGAAATTGTCCTTTTAAATCATGCAATCTGTTCATTCACGTGTCCAAGCAGAAAGAGGCAAGCAATAGATCCCAAACGGAATATGCTCGTCCATTTCACATACGTTCCCTCTATCTCTCATTTTGTTTCGAAATTTCACCAAATGTGGCAAGAGGCTTTCGAGGATACACCACTTAACGGTGTCCTCCCCATTTTTGCCAATCGCTTGTCGGAAAATTTGACTCAAATGTTAATCCGGAAGAAACCACCAAAATCAATTTTACGACCCTCACTTCAAACCCCGCATCAAATCATCTAAAAACTAAATTTCAAAAACAACTTTTCCGGATTAACATTTGAAAAGACCACTTGCCGTACTTCTATACCTCTAAAAGTATACAAGTCGTTTTCTCCACTTCTCGTTCTCCATTTTTTATTTTTACTTTTTTCTGTTTTGAACAATGTCACACTTACCTTCTCATATTTTATGTTCCTCGCTCTACACTGTGTGACACTTATATACTCCTTCTTCTGCCACTGACAGTCAATTCTATACTATATATTAGCATTTTTTTTTTTTCTCTCACTCGAGAGTCTGTACTACTGTATTCCAAGAATTTTCGTTCATATTAACGTTTTTTCTCTTTTTTCTCTTCTTCTAGAACAAGCTGTTCTAATGTATAGAACAGCTTGTACATGTATAGAACAGCACATCTTTTTCAGCATCCACTCGACGTCAGTACTTAGCTTCTTGAATTCTCGGAAACATGGGCGGGAAGCGGTCACTGGTTTATGAACTTTTCGCACAAAAACAGTTTGTCCAAAAGCATATTGCCGAAG